AATGAAGCATTTTTTGGACTTGATCTTAGAGAGACAAAGTGGTGGAGAATTAAATTTCCTTTAAAAACGAGCCTTGATTGGGGAAAAACTGGTGAATCATGTGAAAGTTATGCTTGGTCAAAGTTCAGTTGACTTCTCCTAAGGAAACCCTAATTTGGAAACTTTTGACTTTTGATGATTTGGGGACTTTTCACGAGGAATCATGATCAACCCTTGATCAAATGATGAATATGACTTCAAAATGTTGAAGTTGACCAAAAATCTTGAAGTTTGATTGTATGTTGACCACAATTGACTTTTTACCCAATATAGTTGATTTTCAGTCATCTGAACCATTGATTGAGCAAACTTGTGATGCAAGGCTTGAAACTTGGTATGAGCATTCTTAGAGACATTTAATAGACCGTAAATTCCATTTAAGACCTTTAAAATCCAAACTTCCTTGTGAAAAGTGAAACCCTAGTTGTGGATCCATTGCTTAGAAGGAGAAATTATCTGATCAATTCTTGAGCAACCTTGAGCATTTGGGAACCCTAGGAGGATGTCTTAAATAAAAATGAGAGAGAAAATTTTGAGGTACAACACTAAGGAAGGGAATATAAAGGTTAACCCTAAAAAGTTAGAGATTCTAGGTTTTTGGACTCGGTTCTAGATGAAGGGAAGGTGTTAGGCACCCCTCATCTACCTTGTTCACAAGGATACTAGGGTTAGAAGCACAATTTTTAGGAAATAGAGTTTTAATTTTTTATTAGGGGAACTTGCCTTGGTTTAGTAGTATGCCTACATATCCTCTTATGAGGAATCAGAGTCCTTATTCGTAGTTCGCAGTTTAGTTGGTGTTTTTTATAGGATTAGATAGAATTGATTTCGAATTATCCTTGAACCTTGTCTAGGTTGAAAATTGTGTGAGTGTAGATGCAGTTCGCAGTTAATTTGAAAATAATTATGCTTAATCCTTTTTCAAAAATGATCTTGGATTTTTATTATGTTAGTAGAAAATGATTTGATGTTGTTGGTTAGCTATTTTGAGTTCCAATTTGATTAAAGAGTATAATGAGATAAGACGCGGGGCGGGGGGAATCTGATATAGTCTCCTCATCATGTGGCCGGATATTGACCATGTGTTGCTCGCGGATGTAGTAATTTGTGAGTTGCGTTGGTTTTAATATTTAATTTTGAATAGTAAATCGGTAGACGATGTGTCGGCCGATTTAATTACTCGAAGATGGACATTCTATTATTTATAGAATGTTTGAATTAATTTAGATTAATAAATAACCATTTTAATTATTATTTATTAAAAAATGCAAAAATATAATTTAATGAGAAAAAATGATAAATTGATAATAAATAAATAATTGAACCAATAAACAAATTAATTAACTATAAAAATAAATTAATTGAATAAACGAGGGGAGTGTATACTATTTAATAATTCTGGGGGGTCTAGAAAGTAAGCCCTCAAATTCAGATATTGAATTTGCAAAACGAAATAAACTCCACATTTACACATAACCTTAACTATTTGAAAAAGAGTAATTAATTGAATTAAAAAAACATAAAGGTGAAAACTTGTTTAGAGAAAGAAAAAAGGAAAGCAAATATCATTTTGATACTCTAAGCTTTTGAAACGTTCATTCATCATGAGTTTTTTCTTAAAACAAATAAATTATTGAAATAAATACAAGCAAATTAATAGCATTAAGGAGTATTAAAGAGAATAAATAAATAAGAAATGTAATACTAGTATGTATAGCAGCAAACAGAGTGAAGCCCAATTTTCTTCTTACTACTCCATCTACTTTCTTAGATCTCCTCATTCTCTTAACCTATAAAGAAGAAAAATATAACCAAAAAAGGGTAAAATAAATATTGAGAAGAGGACTGGTCGAAGAAAGGGTGAAAGTGATGGAGCGTGATGCTTCGTTGATGACTGCAGTGTGGTCGGAACATTGACCGTCGATATGGTCATTTACGGCAGACTACTTATGTTTTTCTTTTCTTCTTGATTCAACCTGTAAGAAAAATTGAAGAAACAACAACACGAATGCATTGTTATGATTATGTTCTTAGTTCTTTTTCTCAGTGTCGTTAGTTAAGATGGTGTTATTGTATTTTGAGATAGATTTCGGTGTTAGAAGTGGTTTGTTAGTTTTGTTATAAGAGCATGGTGATGATATTTTACAATATCGATTCAATATTGATTCAATATGGTGATGCAAGCTTTGGAGTGTATGTACATATGAGAGTTTTGTTTAAGTTTACAAAAAACATAAGAAGTAAATAATAGCAAAATAACAAAGATTAGAAATAGTGTAATATGTGCAGTGCAAATTGTTTTTAAGATTTTTCAATTGATAGAAAAAAAAAGAAGTTTAACTATATATATATATATATATATATATATATATATATATATATATATATATATATATATATATATATATATATATATATATATATATATATAGTTAAACTTCTTTTTTTCTATCAATTGAAAAATCTTAAAAACAATTTGCACTGCACATATTACACTATTTCTAATCTTTGTTATTTTGCTATTGTTTACTTCTTATGTTTTTTGTAAACTTAAACAAAACTCTCATATGTACATACACTCCAAAGCTTGCATCACCATATTGAATTAATATTGAATCAACATTGTAAAATATCATCACCATGCTCCTAAAACAAAACTAACAAACCACTTCTAACACCGAAATTTATTAGCTCATAAAACAAAAATCATAATTTGGAAAAAAAGAATAGGACCCTCATATATTATCATCATACGGAGAAAACTGCAAAAAGGAAAACAACTATAAAATAGAAATTGAAAGAGTGGGTGGCCTCATATGAAATCATCGGTCGAAAAAATATAATAACACCAATGTTTTCCGTAACACCAAAAGTTTTATTAAAAAAAATTGAAAAGAAAAATCTGTGGAATTTGTGGATGATTGTGAATTTTGTGGATGTGTGAGAAATTCTTGATGACTCACTAGGACAAACAAAGGACTTATTTATAGACTTGTATTAGGTTAAACAAGCTTAGGAAGTAATTTATCCAAAAGCCCAATGAGAATCCCAAAGTTTGATCACCATAAAAGGAAAGAAAATTAACAACAAAAAAGAAATAAAAAAATGTTAAAAATGCAACACACAAGATTCGAACCCGTGATCTCATATTTGCAAGCTTCATTCTTTATCAATTATGTTATGTTACTCATTTGTAAATAAACTCAATTAGAAGTATATGAAATGTGTGCAAATATTTGCTATTTTAAAATACAAATAATTTGAAATAAATTATTATATTTTTAACTAGAATTGAGAACGAATATCTATAAAAATCAAATAATATTATAAAAATAATGTTTAAAATATTTTTGAATGTAGAAATAAAGGGCGGGAAAATTTGGGGTATGACAAATTGGTGTTTAATTGTTGTGTTTCTGGAAAATTTGGGTTTCTAGCGTTAAGGTTCTAACCTAGGGACATGATTCATCTGGTTTGGGGTTTTTGGGTTTTGGTTGATTAGGGTTCTTCACGAACCCTTAGGGTTCTTGGGGTTAGGTCATACATTGTTAGGGTTCTTATTAAGGTTCTAAGTTTCTAGATTTGTCGCGGTGGTTGGGTATGAATGTTTGAAATTTTCGGTTGAATGTCAACCAGAAAGCTGGACAGAGGTGGTAGCTCAAGGTGGACGGCGCGACCAAGGCGATTTCCGGTCACCTGAGTTCTAGAGAGAGGTCATAGCCTCTCTCTCTAGGTTTTGTTTTAGTGAGAAAGGGATTATAGAGAGAGAGGTGGAGAAGGGAAAAATGAGAAAAATGAGATAAATTGAATATATAACTCTCCATGTACTTCATGCATATGCTTACCATGCTCCCTCGGTCAAACCATTGATCACGTCCGTCCAATCTTTCTGTTTTTAATCAAAGCTTATGAATCGACCTCAGGTGGCCTTACTATCAAAATCAAACATCCTTGAATTATCCACACACGTTAATTACTCTGAGCCAACCCCACACTGGTTAAGCAGACCTTGTTCAATGTTGGGCCATGCCCTTTTACGCTTCACACCCTTCCTTGTTTTTATTTTACTAGTACACACTGTACCCCCCAGCGCTAGTGGGCAAAGTTCAATATCTGGACTTAGGCCTTACTCCTTGAACCCCCAATTTTACTACACTGTACAAATTTGCACCCCCTTGTAATTTGAGCCTAAATCCAATATCTGAATTTAGGACCCTGTTATCTACACACCCACAAATTCTTGACCCAAATAAAATACACACTCCTTGGCATTTTTAATTAAAATTTTATTTTTTATTCATGATATTCTATTTTTTTATTAACAAATTCAGGTTTTAATCTCTCGTAAAGTTTTTTTTTTTAAAAAAACCTTGTAATTTGCAGATTCTCTCACTATACCTCCTGTGCACACTATTTAAAGTCAGATTCTATATTTTGTCTAGCGTGGCATTATACGTGGAGTTTATTTTTATTTTTTCTAATTTTTTTAATCCACCTGGATTATTATAATTTTGTTTATTTAATTTTTTTTTAATCTATACTTTTTTATTTATTTTTTTAATGTTTTATTATATTAAATTATGTTGTTTTAGTACTATTTTTTTTATGAAATTGTATTTATAAATGAATTATTAATTTTTTTAATCCACCTGGATTATTATAATTTTGTTTATTTAATTTTTTTTTAATCTATACTTTTTTATTAATTTTTTTAATGTTTTATTATATTAAATTATGTTGTTTTAGTACTATTTTTTAATGAATTATTAAAATATTGATGTTGGACTTAAAACCAAGGATATTTTCATAGGCTCACTGTTTATTATTTTATATTTTATTGTATAAAATATGTATATAAACTCTTAAATATCTTAAAGAAATTTCGATGTGGGACTCAAATACTAGCTTTCCAAAAATTCAGACTATCTAACTGCTTTGATTCTTCTTCATGTATGTAACCATTACATTGGAACCACTAATACACTGTCAACCATTGATTCTTCTTCATTCCATGATATTTCAATTGAGGTTACCATGAACCAAGCTAGTGAAGCATACAAACTTGTGTCAACCATTAATTTTTCATTACAGTTGCAGTAATTTTTCATTATTGAAGGGTTAGAAAAATATTAGTTGTTTTCAGCTAAAAGATATAATGAAGTCTTTATCTGTCATTGTCTTATATTTGTGTAGATATTGATTCAGTTAAATCAAAAGTATTTTTATAATATTCTCACACAGAATAATTTATTTATATTTAGATAGTGATTGACGATTAAAGAACATACCAAAAGTAGTTGAACGAAAAGTGGTAGAACCATTTTGAGCGTTATGATTACCGGTAACAATGGTTGAATCCATTCCATCTCCAAATATAATTATGTTCTTAACTGTGTTTTCTATATCAATGTTCTCTTTGTATACTCCTGCTTTCACATGAATAACAACTCTTCCTTTTCCACTTCCCTTAACAGCGGCTACACCCTCTGAGATTTTTTTATAGTTTCCACTCCCATCTTGTGCCACCACAATATCAGCACTTGGTGTTGTCTGCAGAAGCTTTCTATCTAAACCTGAAAGCCAATGTAGAAATCTATTTGATAACAACCTTCTCCCATCATTTTTTTGCACTTAACATAGAGGACGGTGATGTTGACGGGTTCGAAGAAGCTAGAGTGTTTCTAATGGACAAGGAGTTGCTAAGCAATTTAGTGAAGTTGGTTAAGATGGAAGGGAAGTAGTTTAAATGGGAGGGAAGGTTGAAATCAATGAAACCATTTTGACAAGTTTGATGATTGGTAATGGAAGCACTTTGCCTAGTTAATTTATCATTTAAATTGTTTGAGTTTATTGAGTGATTAAGTTGATAAATTATATCTTCATAAAGCTCAACACAATCTTCCCATGCTGACTTGACTCTATTGTCTTTGAAATTATTCAAACCCATGGTTGACACAAGTTTGTATGCTTCAATAGCTTAGTTCATGGTGTAATACCCCAAATTTGTCCTACCCTTCTACTTTTATCTGGTTTATGTCTTGTCGCGCTTTTCTCATGTACATATCTCCATTAGGTCATTTAACATTGCATACATTCGCTAACAACATAATTTGGCATGGATGTGATGGAATTAGGGTTTCCATGGCTTTGATGGTCCTCATCTTCACTGAAGCTTGAATCAATTGGTTTCCGATTAACTGTGGTTTATGGAACTAGAGTTTGGATTCTTAATTATGGTGAACTTCTCCACCATCAAGCTATAAGGCTGTCATCCTCGTTAAGGGCAGGATCACTAGGGTTTCACTAAAGGTTTAAGTAAAGACTATGTGAACTAAGGTCTAAGTTCAAAGTCATCTTGAATATCTTCTTCAGGGATCCAAGACGTCGTTATTCTAGTGCTCATATAGTCGGGACATGGTAGAGGATGTGTATTGTAATCAAGGTGTCATTATTTCAAATACTTATTGCTTAACACACAAGTTTGGTTTATATTGAGGAAGTGAATTGAATTAGGGATTCATTGAAGTTGTAATTTGATTGGAACTCGTTCATTAAGATGTGAAGAGGATTTGGGGTGAATAAAAGTTCTTAAATATTTGTGTGGGATTTCTTAGAATAAAAAGGCATGTATCAAACTAATTTGTTTCATCCAACAATCAAAGTGTCATCCAAACAGTCATTCAAGAACTCATTAAAGATTTAAGTCTCTTTGTGATTACCTCGAAAAAATTTTGGATTCGTGCCATGATTATTTGAATTCATATAAAAGCGTCTAAATGGAATATTGAAGGGAAAGGAATTTGGATGTTCAAAATCAATTTGAAAGTTCAAGGTTACAAATGAATTACATCATCCAATTTTCAAGTTACAATTCATTAAGGCTTCCATTTATTCAAGTTCCAAAATACATTACAAATATCCAACGATACCATTTACAACCCATAAAAATTATACAAATGAGATGCCTACTTAAACCAGATTTAGAGCCCATCCTACTTGACAAATTAATTTTCTTCGAACTCCATCTCTCTTCTTGCTCAAGATTTGCAGCCATTTATACTTCAGTTTTGGGTGGCTTCAATTTGTTATCTTGGCATCATATTACCCAAAGCTGCCCTGCAACACAAATTCAGTTCTGAAAACATTCAATAATATTTAAACCAGATCCAAAACCACTCAAAATTAGAACAACATGATCGAATCTTGTAGGACTGCTAACTAGTAGAAAATGAGAATTCGCAGAAAAGTCAGAAACAGTCAGCTCAGCATCAATTAACATAGTTAGCTAATAGAGTCCAAAACTAATTCTCTAACCTTACTACTGCACCACAGTCTTTAACAGAATTACTAACAAACCTACAGCCAAATAACCAATTCCAACTTAACCAATCTCAAACAGAATAACAAACTATAACTGCTAGCCAAAACAGGATTATATACACATTCCCTAACCATTTTCTAAAGCAGCCCTGCACAATAACAAACTACAAACAGATTCAAACAGATCCAAACTAACTCCAACTTCCCAACAAATTATAACAGAGATAACAGAAATGGGAGGGAAGGAATTCATAATTCATTCATTGAGAGCACACAGAAAAACTCAGAATAGAGAGAAAAAATCACCAAAGAAACTCACACATAAAATCTATAACAAACTTATAACCATATAATTGAACTCACCTTTTTCAATCGATAGCTTCTTCAATCATTTCAGAGGGATCACTCACAAGAAACCTCTCTCAATTATCTCTTCTCCTATGCATCCACGCTACAATCTTCATCATCATCGCCATCTTCACTCTTTCTCTGCATTCCTTAACCAACCGCAACAACTTTTCCTCTCTCTTTCTGTAACCTCACTCATCATAATCTGCAACACTCGGTGGAAACTGCAAGATTTCGGCATCACATCATCAACCTTCATCTACTTCATACGTCTCCAAGCATCTTCAAATTCTCAACATCTCTCGTACAACAACAATCTTCATCTTTAATCTGCACCAAGAACCCACGGCAATTCCGCAGCATCGTCATCAATTCCCCACTTCTCTACATCAATCGTCATCTCCAACCTTCTCCAGCAAAGCATACTTTCAGCATCAGCCTTTAACAACGACAACAACACCGTGAATTCAACACAATCACAGAGTAACAACGCCGTCACAGAGATTGCAGAAACAAAAGATTCATAAGAAGAGGATAATGCAAGCGATGTTGTTGATCATTGAATTACGAGGATGATGGAAGACGAAATCGCGGCGAAGTGAGCAAAGAAGGAGAGGCTCTTCGAAGATGACGAGCGAGATTGAAGCTCAGAGGACTGTCTGTTGCAAAATCGAATAGAAGAAAAACAAACGGCGGTGCTGTGTTGGTTTATCGGAACGAGATCGATAGAGACAGAGCGGAGCTGAGAAAGATGAGCAGAGACGGAGGCGCCACTGCTTTATACGGTGGAAAGGTTGAATTGATTGAAGAAAAAAAACGGTCGCGAGCGTGGTGGCCGTAAGATTCCACGGCGACGCTGAATATTGAGAGGAAGAAGACGATTCTGTTTGAGAAGATGAAGAGGACAACTCCTCTGACCCTAATCTCACGTTCTCATTCCCTTTCAATTTTCTTTTTCTTTTTTTCTTTATTTTCTTAGTTATTTATTTCTAGTAAAATAATAAAAAACAAAAAAATAAGCTTGAATTGTTGTTGATAGTCACCGGCCTAGACCGCATTGCCTTGAGCCCATATGCATTTTTGGTAGAATTGTCTTGCTAGACAAAAAACTGATATTGGACCATTTTTTATAGGCCTAGTGCCCAAATTTCAACTATTTTACACCCCTGAATCCAGCTTAGCACCCCTGAACTCTTTACATTTATATATTATTTTTCTTCATCAATTTCCTTTTATTGGCTATTGTTAATTTTTATTGCATGAAAAATAACCTAAAAATAATTAGAATATTTTAGGAAATATTTTAGAATTCCTAGGTTTTCTCTTTAGAATCTTATTAGAATTTTCTAATATTTCTTTTCATGTTCGATAATCATTTTCGTTGCCATTTTTAGCCTAGATTTTGTGATAGAATATTAATGCAACTTTCGCAATGTTGAATGCTGGGAGATTAATTCTATGATCACTCATGCGGAGCAACTCCTGTAGAGTCTTCTTATCGCGTGCATGGTTATGAAGAGGCAACGAACCTTCTCCGTTCGGTATCGTCACAACTCTATTTTATTCCTGCACTTTACCACTTTCTATATATCATGTGAAGTAGGGAATAAAGAGCGTGCGCTCGAAGTCGCTGTTTAAAGACCTGTAGCAGGCATTCCGCACTTCATTTTCTATATGTGTTGTGCTTTTGTTTGTTTACTTTCTTGTCGATCGATGAGTCACTCAATTTAGCAATTGAGATCACGACTTCGCTCTCAGTGCATGCTCCCTATAGGAATTTATCGCTTTCCATTCTTTCCTGCTGATCGATGAGTCACTCAATTTAGAAATTGAGATCACGACTTTGCTCTCATTGCATGCTCCCTATAGGATAGTTTTTAGACTTTTCTTCGACATGCTAACCTAGGCAGGATCCCTTTAGGTGTGCTTCTTTTTTGTTGGCTTGCTTGCTTTATCCTTGTACATACCATGTTCCCTTAGGATGCGCTTGCTCCATTCGGACGCAAGATAGACCTTAGATTGCAAACCATGCATGCTGACATTAGGTAGAAACTTCCCCTTTCATCCTTGACATAGGGCTACCATTGTATGATAACATTAGGTTAGAAATAGGCTAGTCTCCATTAGACTCTTTTCTTTCCATCTTTGCATTCTTGCATCTAAAACAAAAACTTCTTTTCTTAGCAAATCAAAAACATGCTAATCATAGTTAAACCCTTTTTCAAGGTAACAAAAATATAAATAAATTCAAACCATTTTGTGCGCTCGGGCACCTTTTCTCTAAAACCCTTTTCAGGTAAGGACATGATTAGTTTACTTCTGTGCCAATGCATAAGTCTCCAAAGGTCGAGCTGCGGCAGAAGGCGGAATTAACACTGTCCATAAAAAACACAAAACAAACAAAACATGTGAGCCAAACTATGGTAGCTCTGATTCCTCAAAAAGGATACGTAGGCATCGGGGTAGGGCCCAGGAGAGCACAATTTTATTTTCCCTACATTCTTTTCCCTTTTTGTTTGCATGCATTTTCCCTTCAGTAGTATAGTAAACAGTAAGCATAGATTAAACACACCCATAAGATAGACAACAAGAGTGGATACTGTAGAGTACTACGGGCGCGTGGGGTGCTAATACCTTCCCCTCGCGTAACAGACTCCCTTACCCGATCTCTCGGTCGCAAGACCGTGACTTCTCCCTTCTCAGGTTTTCTCGATGTTTACCTTTCCCTACACGTGGGATAAAATACGTTCGATGGCGACTTCATTGTTTTGATGTTTCAGCTGGCGACTTCACTGGGGAATAGGTCGACCAAATGCTGGTCCATCCTGGAGTCGCTCCTAGCTCTTGCTTTCTTTTCTTTGGGTGTTCATATTCATGCTTTCAGTTTATTCACTCATTTTGTATATACTTAAGCATATGTATGCATTGCATTTTACTGTCTTCCACATACTACTGTTGTACTGGATCTGCTTCTTATTGGGTGGGTATTACTATGAGGTAAAAGGCCTAATACCCAGGCCAGAGCTGTATACCTTCGGAACCCTAGGAATAGAGTGGAACATGAACAACTAGTTGACTTAGGTATCACTATTGCCGCCATGTCGTCCACGCTCAGATGAGGTACAAATGAGGGGCTATCGTTTTCACGTAGGTAATATGGAGATAGTTTTTCAGGAGTACCCTCGATTATGAGTTACCATTGCCTTACCCTGACCTAGTTTTCACCCGTGAGCGGGGAGGGAATTCTTATTACAGGTACAAATGGTGACTATGTTCAGATGGTTACTCATGCTTGGATGGTGACTACACTCAGACGGTAACTATTGGTTCTAATGGCTAAGATCTTGATTTCTGTTATAACTTTATGCATATGCTATATCCTGTTGGTGGCCGTTTAGTTCTCAAATTTATTTTCTGAGTTCCTGACTTGTTTACTTGGAGGTTCATTCAAGCCTTCAATCTTGGTATTCCCAGCATGTTCAGAAATTCTCAACAGTATCCGATGTTCCAGAAGGCTTGATCCCGTACAATGGGAGATCCACATGGTACTTGGTTCTTATATATGCGGAAGCTATGTCAGACCTTTGATCTAATGATACTCATATGGTTCATAACAGTGCAACAATCATATTCAGAAATGATGGAACCTTGATCCTCTTTGATCTCATGCCTTTGCATACATAACATGGTTAATCACATGCTTAACATACATGTTTTGTTATCTCCAAGGAATCACATTTGCAAGCCTTGTGTTGAACCCTTCCATCCCTTACTTGCGCAAAATCAAAATCAAAGCACGTAAATTCCTTGGAAATGACAGAACATGACATGGCATTCATTCATGCACCCCATGCATATTCATGCATTCATAACAGGTACCCGAAGATTGGGGATTCTTATTCAGACTTGGGGTTATCTTCAAATGTTCAACTTGATTTCTCACCGCACATGCTCAGAGATCATTTATGGAATAAATCCGAGCGATATACATGCAAGCTCTGGCTCGTAGTTAGGAATTTCTTCAAGCAGGAGGATAATTTATTAAAGACTCAAATAAGCCAGGTCATGGAAACTCTGATGGTGATGTGTATTACTTCCTTAAGACATGATATGCTTGGTGATGCATATTATACTGGGGCACCTGGCCAATCGATTGAAGATGGTATGTCATCCAGAGACCAAGTCCAAGACTGGATTAATTTAGAGACTGTTGTGTTCACATCAGATCAGAGGGGAATTCTCCCGCACACTCGAGCATCAAGACTACAGAAAGTCGTCAGAATCAGCAAGTCCATACGGAGTCAAGTCTCCTCAATGATGGCAACCATTGGTTTTCTTTACTGCATTTTCATTTGCATTCTTGCTTGTTTGTTTAAACATTTCTTGTATATAGAAACTTGTCTATTTTTGAATGAAAATCTTAATGCAATAGGTATGCTTGTCTTGAAGTGTTCCTTTCATTTTTACTCAGCCATTCATTATCACTCTTTAAATGTTTTACTTGCATATTGATGCCAAATTTCCTAGTCTTATGCTTAGGTAAAGATTCAAAGGAGGATGACGACAATCTGAAAATGCAAAAATCTCTGGTTGGTACGCTTTTGAGTAAGACCTTGCTGACGATGTACAAGCCTTGTTTCAAATCCTAAACATTTGAGATATAAGGGAGATAGACCCTCGTTAACCCCTCTGAGCCTTCGAAGTAGGAGTTTCTTTTCTATTCATAAAAAACCCTCATTTTAACCCCGGGGCGGGTAGTGTTCAGTTAATCTGATCAAGCATCCAGAACTCATCAAGAGTGTGCATCCAAGGATACAACAATGATTATCCATCAAAAGCTTGAGGAAAGTCAAAACCATAATGGTTAACCCTCATCTAATGACAACGTGTGTCTATTGACAATATCCCAAAGGATATATCTCGCAAATCAAGAAGCCGAGATCATATGACGATACAACAATGGCTATCCATCATTTACTAAAGACTCGGACAGTCACGATCACTTCCGACAAATAAAAAACAACGCAAAGATCAATGACTTGTTCAAAATGGAAAATACGAATAAGAAAGAAACAAAAATCCCCGCTAAGTCGAAACTTGAAAACAAGTCACTTAAGCAAAAATTGGGGCATCCCGTTGGACTTCCAAATCGAAATTCAAAAGAATTTGTCCAGGAAAAAATTAGGGAAAGCAAGAAAGAAATTGAAAAGCCTAAAAGGCGAGAAAAGGATTACCAACTAAAATCCTCATCAAAGAACAAAGTCGTCTGATCAGACACCAAA